ACCTACCCGTGCGCAAGATTCGCCGTGCGCAAGTTTCTCGTGCGCATCTTTCCGTGCGTAAGTTTCGTGGTGCGCAAGTTTCCGTGCGCATCTTTCCGTGCGCAACTTTCGTCGTGCGCATCTTTCGTAGACCCAGCTATTAAGCAGAATGTTTCGAGTATTTCTTCGGTCTTGTCGAGATTTCCGGTCTTAATCAGTACTTTATACAGACCGTGCCATCCGGAGGATCCACGAGTCTTATCTCGCATACGTGTGATGAGTACGCTGAGTTGCTGGTCGTTGTCACCCGTCAGTGTTAGCTTCGTTTTCCAAAGGCGATCTTCGATTTGATTCGATTTTCCCATTCGATAAATGGTGTACATGGAGAATAGAATCTCTTTTTCTGACTTCTCGTAGTAACTCACATGGCCGAGAAGTGCAAAAGGACATGTGGAGGTAGTTGTGTCAATAGTCATTTTGAAGAGAATTCCCACTGAGTCTGGCTTACTGAGAGCATCACGCGCAAAGTTTAATGAGACTTCTCTGTGTTTACTCGTGGATAAAAAGTTGTTGAATGACATGAGACCGCTTTGCGTTCTGGTCAGTTTTAACAAATTTTGTTTAGTAGAACTCGACTATAGTGAACAAGCAATCGAAAAACTGGCGAACTACTGTCGGAAATAGGTGAACAGATATTACTATTCGTTTCTCAATTATTTTTTTTTACTTTGTTTACTCTTAATCGGCATCGTTTCTTCACAAAACTAAAATATAGCTTGTAATACTGCCACTTAAATTTAGTGAAAACTAATCGAAATAATGTTTTTACTTCAAGTTTCTCTTCTTACATTGAAAAAGCAAAACACCGGTCACGCGTACTGAAACTGAAAGTTCAACCATGACCACCACTTTCATGGATTTTTATGCCATAGTAATGTACCCGTACTGTCTGTCCATGTCAACTGCCCACTATTTAACATTGTCAAACAACGGGCTGCATTTACTCCAGCAACCCATGTACCACTATACCAAACGACACTTCCATTTACTGAATAAACAACTAGATTTTCATCTGTTTGCAATGGTAAACTATTGCCAATGCCAACGGAGGGTGACGCAGTCCATAGACTGCTTCCGATTGTAGTGAAAGCTACACAATTAAACACACCAAAGATACCATTGTTCATTCCAGCAGCATAATTACCATTCGGTGAATAGATAAAAGAATTGTTATAGAGATACTTTTGCGAACCCACGGCAGTACAAATTTGATTTGGTGGAACTGGGAAGAAAGGACGGACTCGTCAAGAGAGTAGGCAATAAGTATTTTGAAACTTACTAGTTGTAGTGGTGCTAGTTGTCGTTGTAGTGGCTAGGAAATACGAAGGAAATGGAAGTTTCCTGAAGACCAAATTAGAGTTCATTGGGTACAGTAGCAAACACTAGCACTGGCTGAGTTTATCGACTATGTTTTACATCAGACTTCTGTCGACCTCACCAAAAAACTTGGAACCCTCATATTTTTTGAAAAAGCTTGCACTTACAAGTCGTCGTGGTTGAAGTAGTTGTTGTTGTACTTGTAGAAGCAGTGCTAGTTGTAGCCGAAGAGACAAGGGTTTGTGAAAATCTCTAAATTGGAAGGCCTACACGTCACGTACTAGTTGTAGTTGTTGTACTAGTGGTTTCAGTTGTTGTTGAACTTGCTACAGAGGATTTCATTTCAAATGAGGTTTAGTGAACAAAAGAATACGCATAACTGTCGACTCACACGTTGATGCTTTCTGAGTTATTTTAATTATACCCTCTGCCATTAAAACTGCTATAATACCACATAGGAGCGCAGCAGCTAATAAAGTACTCAGCCAACACCAGATTGGTGAACAGCAATAGCGCTTTTTCCTATTTTGAAAGTTCAAGTCTGCGTTTTAACGATTGCATTTTAATCTGGAGGAAGGCACCTACTTTGTTGCTTTAGGTTGACTAGCTCGGCTGCGTCTTCTTTTTCTAAACAGTTGCGAATTACTTGTACTATTTAGTGATAATTGAGTGTCTAAGGCTGCTAGTTTGTTTTTTATCGGTTTAAAATTCTGAAGAAGAAAAAGACGACAGAGGCATACACAACTAAACAACATTATAGCTATCATTTATAGCTACCGAGAAAATAGCCTACCAAACTTTTAGCTACCTGACAGAATAGATATCACATATCATTTTTCGCGTATCCTTTTTTATTACTCTTCCATTCTGTCTGATGTCTAAAGGTCGAGCAGTTATTTCGTCGTGCCACAGATGCACACTGATTTATGCTTTCAAAACGGACTGACTCACCTGACTTTTCTCCTGTATTTTTAAGTTTAAATCACTAGTTGTGATTACTGATGGTGCTAGCTCTCGTTTTCGACCAGTCTCTGTAGTTTGATTGCTATTTTCTGTGATAAAACTTAGAGCAGTTGCCACAAATATCGGTGGCGATGATCGGTTCTGCAAAAAAATACTAAGGCGAGTTTGAAGAGCCTAATCCTCTTGAGTTCTGAGTGACATACACGAGATTCGCTGTGAGCTACTGGAGTTGTTCTGATAGTGTCTTGTTCTCTTCTGCCGACGTTTATCACATTTCCGTTACTGTTCACGCTATGTATCCTTGCAGATTAAATTCTACTAACTCGAACGGAAGGAGATCTCTAAAGAAAAAAAAAGTGCGTAAAAGAAGCTTTCTAGAATAAGTTGAGTCCAACTCACCTTGCTCTGATGTCTCGAGCTCTAAAAAGAAGCAAATAAGTTAGAAATCTAAGCAAAAATCCTTGCTTTCGCTCACATACCTTGTTATTGTGCGATGAAAGTCTGCTTACTCTTAATATTCTGATGTTTTTTTTGTTCGAAAGCATTTTTAAAAGTCGCATAAAAGGGTGCTGTGCAGCCTGAAAATTCTAATCTCGATCACTGTAAAAAGCGTGTGTTGTACTTATTAAAAATACTAAACAAAAAGAAGAAATAAGCAAAATGTAATTTAAAATAAAGGGTTTCTCTTTATAACGAGAACCACGTACAACTTTTAATTTAAAATATTTTTTGCTCCAGAAAAGACTGACCTTGACTTATTGCAGAGTAAGTACACCAGGCACACGCACAGTTTGCTGGTTCTTCTCAGGGACTGTGAGAGTCAGAAAGGCCAGATTGGGTACTTCCTCGATTATACACTTGTGTTCCAAAGAAGGAATGTGTAACTATTCTTACATGAAACTTCTTTTTGTTATATTCCTATTTGATAAAAATTAGATTCTACGAAACTTCTGGCTTTCCTTGTACAGTAATATTTCTGTTTTATTCTTTCTTCCTAGTGACGAGACTAAACAAACTAATCTACTTTGAGACAATCGTAAAAGCTAATGAAAAAAAAGAACCGAAAAGATGGCCTAGGTGATAAGTCAGTACTTTGACTATGTCAACGACACTGTCCACTATTCTGTTCTCAAAACATCATTTCATTCATTCCATCAGTGCGATGACGATAATTCGCTAGGATTACCATCATAAATTCGCATGAGGAGGCCATATGACATTATACACTGCGAAAAAAAAGTGCCCTGTTTGTCTCATCAATAGATTGATGAGATTACATAAAAAGATAATGTGCATGACTGACCTCAACCTCCTACCTATCTGAATTTTTGAAGTGTCATCTGAATATATGTTGAGTAGGTGTATTTTCTTTTCGTAAGGCCAATCTGTACACTACGAAGAAAAAAGTGCCCTTTGGTGAGGTTTATGGCACATCAAAATGCCCTAAGTGCGCCACAGTCACCGTGAAAACAACAATATCAGGTTCTGATTCTGACCATATACAACACAAATCACAAACTTCTTTAACTTCTTGAAAAGTTAATTTGCCTAATCTGTAAGATATTTTTTCAATTTCACTGCTGTTTTCTTCTATATTGCAGGCCTC